GGGACTCTGGGCGGCCGCTAGTCCTCGCCTTCGGGTCTCCATGCCTCGGCTGCGCCCTGCTCGGCAGCCAACCGCCCGCAAACTGTAGCCATGGCTGCCGTTGCCGTCCTCCGGAACGACTCGCTGCAGGCCTTCCTCCAGGTCAGGGCTGGGCTCGGAGGCGGCGAGGGAAAGGTGGGAAGGGTCGTGACTCGATCGTCCTGGTACTCTGTGCGCCCTGAATCTCAAAGGGAGCCCTGCTCGGTGGATGCCGCAGGAGTCAGGCTTGGGGGTGCCCAAGCCAACTTCGCACCTAACCTTGATGTCAAGAGTGAGGCCTTTGGGGTAGGGACGCGCGGATCCGGAGGTGGTGCCGGGGCGCATCTGGCTGAGAACAAGGCCCGAGCTCACCCCGCTGGGCCCTCCTGCTGGTTTCAGCCGGGGTTGGACGGGGGAGGAGCCCGAGTGTAGCGTGGAAACAGCTTAAAAGCTAGAAGGAGGGCGTGTGGGCATTCCGGCTGTGGGTGTTTCCAGGCCCTTTCGGACTGCGCTGCGGGAGTCGCAGGTCGGATCCCTCTCCCCTCCCACCTTGTGCCTGGTTCCTCTAAGACTGGGTGGCGTCTCTTTGAGCCGAGTGCGGTAGTTTAACAGGAAGCCCTCGTGCGCTCCGCGTGCAGGTAGCGCAGGCACCAAAAGTTTCCCGGGACTGGTGGTGGGTGCGCGCGTGGGGTGCGGTGGCAGGGGAGGGGCGGCGGGACGGGGGAGGGGCGGCGGTATAATAGCTGGTGTGGGGGTAGCGGGCTGGCCCGGAGACCGCGCTTGGAGCGCTAACCTTTTGTGTCTTCTCCGCCCCCCCTCCGCCGCCCATGCAGGACCGCACCCCCAGCGCCTCCCCGGACCTGGGCAAGCACTCACCCCTGGCGCTGCTGGCCGCCACCTGTAGCCGTATAGGCCAGCCGGGCGCTGCGGCGCCCCCGGACTTCCTGCAGGTGCCCTACGACCCGGCGCTGGGCTCGCCCTCCAGGCTTTTTCACCCGTGGACCGCTGACATGCCGGCGCACTCTCCGGGCGCGCTGCCGCCCCCACACCCCAGCCTGGGGCTAACGCCGCAGAAAACGCACCTCCAGCCGTCCTTCGGGGCGGCGCACGAGCTGCCGCTCACCCCCCCTGCCGACCCCTCGTATCCCTACGAGTTCTCGCCGGTCAAGATGCTGCCCTCCAGCATGGCTGCGCTGCCCGCCAGCTGCGCGCCTGCCTACGTGCC